TTCTCTTAAACTCGGAAACCTTATGCAGGTTAGAAGGTGGAAATTTCATTATGTTTTTTTTTTTTAAGCTTTATGTGGGTGGCAAATGAGAAACATTTCTCTTATGCTTTTTTGGGTAAATCTTTATTTCCAAATTTATATCTAATCATTAATCCATAAGGAGGCATGTCCTCTTATTTTATAACTCACAGTAGGTATTTTCACACAACACATTGAACCTCTATAGGTTGTTAAAGTGCCATTCCTTGCTCCATCTTGTACAGCTACTTAATATAATCAGCAAATCCTGTCTTTTAAAACCATATAGTTAACATTAACCAGAAGTAGAAATCACATTAGTTGTTACCCTGCATTCTTAATTATATATGAACTGTTGATTTTGATTAAGACATAAATAGGATAAGTTAGAGATGTAAAAATGTAATCACATGGAGTATTTTCATGTACTTCCTTATTTCCATTGACCTCAGTTTTCTTACATTGAGAATCAAAATAAGATAGAGATTAATCTAACAGCTAGTTCTGAGGGTCTCCTTTTTCAATTTCATTTTATTTTCCCAGCAGTTTCTTTTAATGGTGAATCCTTTATAATAGCAAAGATAAATGTAAGCAGCACCTTTTCTGCCATTGTTTATATTAATACAAATATTGAAAAGGAAATTAAATTTGTAGACTATCATGGTTCAAGGTTAGCTTTCCCCTTCAGGTCTTTTTGGAAAGCTTCTTTACACTGGTTATTTTAGTCTAACACAACAGCGGTGGCAGGATTACAAGTGTGGTTGGAATCTGCCAGTATAAATTTCCACAACACTGTGAAGTGCCTACTTTAATCTGGGAAAGTGTGGGAATTAAAATACACACTTACAATTATCTACTCTTTTGTCCAATGCAAAAATGTAATCATCAAATCTGCATCAAGGTTTTAAGTCCATCAGTGGCAGTTGACCTAATACAAGGATTAATGCCAGGCTCAATATGGTTGAAATGTCCAAAAGACATTTATTCCATTTCATACCAGAATAACAGAATTGTAATGGACGTTGGAGGTTTTTTTTTAGTCCAACCCCCTGCTCAAGCAGGAAACTCTATACCATTTCATACTATTCCATCCCAGTCCAGGATGAAGATCCTTCCTCCTGACCAAATACTGACTAAAACCTAGATTAAAATGGGCCACAAGTAAAGATCTGCTCCGTAATTATGTTTACAAATATTACAGTTCAGATATTTAATTATGGTAGTTAAAACTTGTCTGCATTGTATCTTTTGTTGAATCTGTGTTTGTATTTTCAAATATGTTTTGGTCTGAAAATAAGAATCAAATTACAGATGCTAAACTATTTGTGCTTGGCCCTTCTGTTGTTGTTTTTAATAAGCATAAATATCTGGTTTAATAGTTTTAAAACTACTCCCTGCCAGACAAACAAAACTTTCCTCTGTAGTACGGCTAAAAAGAAGCCTGTGTTGCCTCAATGTATGCATCTTTCTTTAAAGAAGCAACTACATATTTTAGAAAATTTAGTGTAGATGCTTTTGAACTCTTTCCCTATGCATTCATAAACTACAATTCCGCTGTGTCCGCCTGTGAACCAAGGCAGTTGAACTTGTGCAAACATCTAGAGATAACTGAGAAAGTCCGCCAAAGCAACTGTGCCAAAGGTTTCAGAGGATAAAGCTGCATTAAAACACCAGAGCATTATGCTGTGCTCACATGAGCCTGCTTTATCTAAAGTATAAAGTACCTCTTCCAAATGTTTTGAACAGTTAATTTTTGTTTTTTTTTTTGTGGGGGGGGGATGGAATGTGGATAGGAGAATAGAGGGAGTGATTCTCAAATAATGCATTTTAGCTGCTTTTCAAAATTTATCAAGTAGCTTAACAGTAAAAAAAAAAAGTACTGTCCAGCATAAATATCAGAAGCCCCCAAAGATTGGTTTAAAAAAATCAAGATGAACCAGTTAAAATAAACCAAATCCAAAGCTTTCCAGGATAATCCTTCTATCTCCTGAAAATTAAGTCCTCCAAAGTTCAGTGGTGTTTACTTCAGATAAGAGGATTTTAAATGCAGCCTTAAAGCATAATATGAAATAAAAAATAGATAAGGAATACTGAAAACAAGATAATTTCATTGTTGGTTATCTTACAGATCTTAATAGCAGTTCCTCCTGTGATCATTTTAACAAATGCCCAGATACAAAAGAGTATAGATGATTCTTCATATAACCCGGACTCAAATAATTTAAATGTTTTAATTACCAAAAATTAAAATTTTGAATTGAGCTTTAATGTATGCCACATTACAGAATTGGTGTAATACAGTCTATCCATCTATTACCAGCAAGAACTTTTTTATGTCAGATGTCACGTTTCATACAGTTTGTGTTTGAAGGCATGTTCATGGAGATTACATAATAATTCACCCTGGCTCTAAGTAAATTAGATCAATGCTTTTCTTCTTGAAATTTGGCTTCCCAGAATTCCATTTTCAAGCTACTTTTCCAATCAGTGCACAACAATAATTTTGAATAGGTACGTGATTGCATGGAAAAGTATTAAACTATTATGACAAGATTAAAATGGAGATTTGAGTATTATTTAAGGAGAAGATATTAAAGAATTGGGGAAAGAAATAAGCATAAGTTTGTCTAGTAACTTAATTTACAGAGAATCCAGTGTTGAAGGTGCTCCTGGTTTTGTTATCAGTAGTGCCCTTAAGAAAGTAGTAAAACCTGATGTAAATATTTATTTAGTGTTTGTTTCTAGAATTTGCTCATGTACGTGACCTATAATCATTAAGTTATCCTACGAGCTATGGATTCCTTTTCTTAATTTTTATTTTGCAGTCCACTTACACCAGTGTGCCTATTAATTAAAAATACCCTTGCTATTTGCTCTATCAAGAGACTTAGACCAAGCCCAACCTGGAGATTCCAGCTGTTTCTCAGTGTTCCAGCTGCTTTCTCTTTAAAATATTGGAAGGAAGTATTATGGAACTGCCTGTCATAAGTAAGTTGGCCCAAAGAGGTTATATGAAAGAAACAGTAAATCACATTTATAAATTGAAATAGCTGTATTTGTCTGCTGGCATTGCTCTAGGCCATGAAAGTGTATGCAGCAATAAACATTGTTAGCTTTTAAGGTGCCAGGGGACCCTGCTGTTTTTATTTTTAACATTCTTCTTGTCTAAATCTTGTTTAGCTACTTCTTAGTGCCTACTGCTACCAGGATTTAGAAGATAGGAGTGTTTGTGAAGAATTTTAGAGTTATTAATTTGAAGGATTTAATAGAATTCCATTATTATTACAGGGAATTTTATTTTGATTTTCCTAACATTTAGGTTGGAGTTAAATAATATATAATAAATAGTTACATTCAGTAAACCTTTACTTTTTAGTACCAGCCTGGAACTTCAGAAGATTCGGAAAACCAAAATATGTTTAAGCGACTTGAATAGTTTGCTAAGCTTTGGTACCCTTCATACTCCAATCCAAGATAACCCCTTTGCCTCTTAGCTTGGGAATGACAGCTTTTTTCAAAGCAAAAAAAAAAAAAAAAAAAAAAAAAAAAAAAAAAAAAAAAAAAAAAAAAAAAAAAAGAAAGAAAGAAAAAAGGAAGACATAAAATGTACAAGGGACAGATATCTTTTATAATGCCAATGCCAGTAGAAAATAAATACTCTGAAATATGACATATGAAAATAGTTCACACAATATTAAGAAAAGGGAATAGCTTAAGAATTGTCAGAGATAACTAGATACGCATTAAACATTTTCACAGATGCTCTTGATTAATACACCATGTAGATTTTCTGTCTCTCTCTGTGTCTCTCTCTGTCTCTGTCTCTGTCTCTCTCTCTCTCTCTCTCTCTCTCTCTTTCTTTCTTTCTTTCTCAGAACTACCTGCTGCTTGCTCTATGGCTTTTCTATCTATCTCTCTTCCCCACCCCCACCCCTTCCTTTTCCAAGTTCACTGGGTCTTATTTAAATAAGCTGGCCTGAAGCCAGAAGCTCATCATTTTAATGCAGTGTAAAATGTGAATATGCATAATTATATGCAAGCCATATGTGAGGGAGACAGCTCAGCTGTGAATTTCAAGAGACCGGGAGAAAGGGAGAGTGAACAGTCAGGGATTAGATGAGATGAGAGTGGAACAGAGTGCAAGTGTCATCCAAATGAACGGTATAATGAGCATGCTGCTGACACTCCTCCTTTCTCCTACTTCTCTCTTTGCTTTCACTCTAAACCAGAATATGCTGCAGATTAGAAGAAATTGCTGCAAGCAAGCAGTAGAGTTGCTAATGGAATTGCATTAATTTATCCATTTAAACTTCAGCTTCGTTAATTAACTGTTTAGATCAAAACAACCCATAACTTTCAGTTTATATTCTTAAATATTTTAACATATTTAACTGCCCTCACTTAATGACAACTTGGCTCCAATTTTTTACATAAAAAAGAGGAAATCCATGCAATACAATGGCTATTAGAAAAAAAGCACGACAGATAATAAGACCTTGTTTCTTAAAATGTTTAATCTGGAAACATGTTATTGGTTGAACATTTCCAAAGGGTGAAATACCTATAGCATTTACGTAATATAATCCTTGAAGCACCAAAAAAGGGGGAATAAACAGAAAATTTTAAGATTTCTAATCCTACATATATTGGGAAGTAAGTCCCATTCATCTCAGTGTGACTTACATCTGAATAGACATGAGTAATACTGTGCTAGTAAACATTCAGAACAGAGAGCTGAAATACTTCATTCTTTGGCTTGTTTCTTTGCTAATCTTTAACTCTTACACCAAAATCTATCTGCATGTTTTTAATGGTGTAATGAGCACTCAAAAGTTCTAATACTGCATATATAAGAATTTTTTTTACTACTGTTGTATTTGAAATTCCCGTTTGTTTAATGATCTGAGCTGTTATGCATTTAGCTTATTCTTTTTCTTCCATTATTTCTAAGTCCCTAAATAGGCCATTATATTTCCCTTCAGGCTAGAGATGAAGATGGACATGCTGAAAATTTTCCCCAGCAACACTATGCTAAGGAAACTCCAAGACTTGCCTTCAAGAATAACTGCGAACTACTTGTAAGAATAATATACTTACAACAAGTCTAGTTTGTTACTTTAGCACAGTGAAAACAGTTTTTGAAAAAGCTTTTGTTCATGATTATATACATTATGAAGTATTATAGCTTTAAAAAAAATACCATGTACCAGTTGGAAATGCTAAGTCTGCTATAGTTGAACAGGTCTGAATTCTCAATTTGCTTGCAAATCTTTTCTTATAGAATAAAATGTCCTTGAAATTGAATTGTAGTGCCATCTGAAGAATGTTTACTCAGAAGAAAGTTCCACTGAGTTCAATGGAGCTTACTTCCTAGTAAGTCTGCTTGGTATTGTAACATATTCTTGTATCCCTTGAAAATCATTCAATGAATTGATAGTAAAACACCTTTAAAACGGAGAGGAAGGGAGAGAAATGATACCTAAATGACAGTCATTTTCTGTTCTCTATCTCTCCCTTTTTAACTTTTAACACTGCCATTGTGTTTAGGTAACGTTAAAATTACATTCAGCCACACTGACACATGGTCCTCCCTTTATACTTCAATTATTTCCCCAATATATTGAAAAAATACACTAAATCACTCTTGTTTTCTTTGGTGGAGACTGAGCAAATTCAGCAAAGTGCTCAGGAGGAGCATAGAATGTTTACATGGCATAAGAGAGATTATAGTAGCTTAGCTGTGAAGAAAGATCCATTCAAAGGCAGGGTTAATTTGCTGTTCATTTTTGCGTTTGCTGCATGCAAAATAAACAGTAAATATAAATGAATGTTATATCTCTGTACAACAAAATGATTAGTTTTTAATAGTTTTGATTAAAATGTAACGATCAGTGCTGCAGGCTTTAATATTTCTCGTTTAGTTAAAGCAAATAGAAAATGAAAGATCATTTATTTAAAGGAAGATCCTGATGACTGTACAATTACTATTCTGTTGATGTTTTTGTTTCTCCTCCATTGCATTTAACTATTTAAAGGATCCCTATATCAACAGTGAAGTTTGAACGGTTTGACAAAACAACTATTTTGCTAGGAGTATAATTTTGTTTTATAATGGGAAAAAAAGGAAGAGAGCAGAAATATAGCATTTTATTGAGACTGGTAGATGTACGATAAGGATTCCAGATTTGTTCTTTCCTGTGATTCATAGGATTTGGTTATAATGTTAATGTTTTTAAAAATTGTAGGATAGACAGTTATAATCACGTTGAGCTATGCTTGACATAACAAAAGAATAAAATATAGTATTGAACTCAGCATTATATCTAGCTGAGTGTTAACTGATCTATCTTATCAAAGTAACATCACAATATTATATGATTTATAATCTTATTGTTGGAGCAGGCAAGAATGAGAAGGGGTGTCTTACCCAAGATTATCTTTTCATATCTGAGTTTTATATCAGGAATATCCAAGTGATGTTTTGTGCTTTCAAACTGCAGCATTCTTACTAAATGTAACATTCAGTTGACAAAGTGGGACTTAATTCTGAGTAAACATATATGGTATTGCACTGTTAACATCGTCAGGATTATATCGATTACTGTATTTCTCTCCATTGGAAATACTTAATTCTGGTCCTATTGTTGTTACAGAATCTTCAAAGTATCCTTTCCTGATCATGCTGTTCTTTTTATTTGCCTTCTCAAATTACTAGTTTTTCCTGTATTTTCAACAAATTTTGTACACAGAAAGCTTTTAAATTGCTTCTGTTAGAAATTAATCTTAAAAATTATTCATACACAGAAACATATTACTTAATAATTAAAATATAATTATTGACTTGCTTTCACTAAAACACTTTACCACAGCATCTGGTCATTTGAAATATATTTTTTTTAAATTAGTGCTTTAAATACAGTGAAACATTTGAAGTTAGTATTCTTAGTATTTTCCTCTCAGAAAATTACAGGAATGACCCATGCTTGGGAAATGTTTTCCTAAACACAGGAGAATTGTTTCAAATGAGGAAGTCAGAAATGATAAAAACATTTTATATAAATATATGCTGTTAATCTTTTTCTATCACTGGGTATAGATGATATATTTTAGTTGCTTTTCCAGTTCTATCTATACCAAATTAGTCTGTATAGTTTTGTAATTAAAGTATTCTTAAAATATGGATTTGGGTCTCTGTCCTCCTCCTATTTACTGTAAATCAGTAGAAGACTCTTGTCAATTTCAGTGTGAGCCCTACTGTCTACAAAATGATTACAAAAAATATAAAGTAGGTGATTCTGAGAACTTACTTTAAGAACACTTAAAGCCTTGTATTTTCCCGAAACACTGAAATATTTCATATTCTCACTGAAAGGAGACATGCACTAGAAAAGACTTCATGCATAACAGAATGCAAGAAAGAATCCAGTATGCAAGCACTGCATAAAAGCATCAGATAAATAATTTATTTGATTCTTGAAGCACGGCATGAAAAATATGAATCTAAAAATAGCTGTCACCCAAAGAAATAATTTTATTCATTCATTCATTCATTCATTCATTCATTCATTCATTCATTCACTCATACATTCACTCATTCAATTTCTATAGCCACCTAACTCAACCAAGTGACTGTGGGTGGCTTACAATTCTAAAATTATAAAACAATTACAACAATTTTAAAAAGCATTAAAACAATAAGAGCATCCACAAAAACCAACAGCAGCTATGATGATTAATCAACAAATAGTAAAGTAATGGGGCCCTTAACACATTCAGAATCCCAGATTGGGTGGGTCGAAACTTTTGAGAAAAGTTAGTACCTCAGGTGTCTCTTGTCCTGAGCCGTGTAGGGCTTTAAAGGTGATAACCAGCAACTTGAATTGCACCCAGAAATCGGCAGCCAGTGAAGCTCACAGAGTAGTGATGTTACGTGTGCTGTGTAACTGGCACCATTTATTACCTGGGCAGCTACATTTTTCATCAGTTGAAGTTTCTGAATGCTATTCAAGGGGGACCCCATGTAGAGTGCATTGCAGTAATTTAAGTAGGAAATTACAAGGGCCTGGGTGATGGTGAGCAGGTCTCCCAGTCCGTGAGTGAGCGCAACTGGCGCATTACCCAAAGGTGTGGAAGGATTCCCCTAGCCACAGCTGCCACCTACTCTTCAAGCAGGAGTCATGAGTCTAGGAAGACCCCCCCAAACTGCACACCGAATCTATCTGTGGTAGTGCTGCTCCATCCATAAATTTTGGTTTATGAAGGGATTGTCTCTTGTAATTAGCATGCTTGTGTATGTATGTATGTGTGTGTATACATACATACAGACAAACAGATGTACATACAGACAGACAGAGATATATATAGATATATACTTACTGTAGACATCCAGAAAAAATAACTATGCTTTCACTATTGTACTTCCTAAAAATGTTTGATGCAAGAATGCTAGTTCTAGTTATGGGTTTTTTTAAAAAAATAAAATAAAATACATGACTAATTATAGGCTTGAATGCAGATCCATTCAAGCACAGGTTCAGATCCAATGTGGAATGTATCCAATCTATTTTGGAAATACACTTTAGTTACTTCCCATAGTCTGCTAATTTACAGTGTCTAATAACCTAACAAGCATGGCCAATGGTGAAAGGTGCAGAGTTAAAATTTCTTTCTGTACATACTTACATCTTTGTTAGCAATGTCACTTTGGATGATTGGAAATGTAAGAATAATGTTGAGGGACAGCTTAAGACTTCAAATGATGGAGAGATAAAAAAAATACTTTTACAAGTACTAGGAAATCCTTGGTGTTTTTTTTTAAATGCACTGCAGAGTAGTAGTCTGTCATAGAAAATTGGACATTCAGATTCAAAAGTGCTTTCTTAGCTTCAGGCTTCTAAGGCTATTTCCAGCATGGATTTCTACAGCAAGTGCAGCCTCTTTAGTTTGGAAAATGTTTCTGCTCTAAGGATGCTGCCAGGATAGATAGAGGAACCAAGCACTGATGGAAGTTGGTTGTTAGCAAGGTCCCAAAAGAACATGAATAGATGGCTAGAATATTAATATTCTGGACCACAAACATGCATTAAAATTAATTCCTAAGTACTTGTACAGATTTCTAAACTTGTAAACTTACCAGTAGGAAACATATGTTTGTAAAGTTTATTTCTGAACAGAATATATTTTGTGTTACATAGAACTGTACAACTTTTTTTTTTTTAGAAAAACTTGATAGAATTAGGACACAGAATAAGCTGCTGTTGAACAATTCTCATCATGAATATGGCTGGGCTATTTATTAGGAAATCCATAGAAATTACAGTTTGGCTGATGAAAATAGCCACAAAGAAATTCCATTATGCAGTTATGAGACTGCTTTACAATATTGATTTCCCACTATAAATCCAAAATGAGTTATATGCTATAATATTTAATACAGAACATAAGAAACCAGATATTATAGTTGGCAGTTAAGATGCTTGAATCACTGAGGATTCAGAAATATCTTTATGAATTACCAGTGAAGTCGGTCATTTGGAAAATTGGGTTTCCTGATGGTTAGTGTCACATGATAAAAATAGTAAATGAGTATGTAACAGAAATATTTCATAGCAAAGATTAAGACAATCCTTGATTCATTGCTAAATGTATTTTGTGGATCCTGTACTAAGAACATTGTTTTCTGTTATTTATCAGCTGATCTAAATCTTTAATAGTGGGGTAAAATCTAAAAAAGGGGCATTATTTGCAGGCAAAGAGAGTGCTAAATCTGGTGAGCATGGTTCTAACTAAGCAGTGGTATCAATCCAGTTGTTTTATGAGAAAAAATAGAGGGAAAGCAAAGAACAAAACAGTGAAAAATAGTGTGGATAAAATAAAAACTACTATAAAAATATTTCTGAGCAGTTGTGGAAAATTGCAATCATTTCGGTACATATTAAATAATATAATACATGCAAACTACTTCTTCCAAGGATATTCAAGTGAAATATAACCACAGTACAGGTAGTCCTCCACTTACAATTGTTCATTTAGTGACTGTTTGAAGTTACAGTGGCACTGAAAAAAGCGACTTATGTTC